CAACGCCGCACGCGCGGAGGAGCAGGAAGCTTCCTCGAAGCCGACCGTCAGCTGACCGGCCTGCTGCGCGCGGTTGCGGACGATGTCGCACCGCGTGAGGAGGTCGTCGATGCGCTCCCCGGGCTGGCGGTGGAAACCCATGAGAACCTGCGCTGCGGCGGTGCGTTCCTCCTCCCCCAGTTGGCCCCAGTGTTCGGCCAAGCTGTGCATCAGGAAGGTCATCGGCGGCGCTGGCTGCCCGTTGGTGATGCCTCCCTGGCTGTGGATCTGGGGCGGCCACTCGTCGACGTATTCGCGCGCCATGTCGGTGAGGCGCGACGAGACGTAGGCCGCCCGCCGGAACTCGTTCACGTGGGAGTTCGCGACAGACTAGATCATCACCTCCCGGGCCCATCGACTGAAGGGCGCGCGAGCCTGCTGCTCGGGCCCCCAGGTCCAGAGGTGACGGATGTTGCTGCTGCCGCCCCCGCCTGCATCCATGCAGGATAGGCAGGAGATGGCAAGCAGGGCCCCAGCTATATGAGCTGCGCCCACTTGTGGCTGAGGCGTCTCAGCAGCATCCCCGTAGCTTCGGAGCCTGGGATCCACCGTCGTCAATGCTCCAGCAAGCTGCCTCGGAGTCGACGCGGATAGTGGCCCCTGGCGTGCTCTGCTTCGTCGGCCCCCTCGGGGCCGTGGTTCGCCGAGGGGTCGTCGCGCCAGCGATGCAGGAGATTCGCGCCATGAGCGATCGTCTCCGCATTCTTGTACCGCGGCCGATGCTGGGCGCTGAACTTGACAAAGGGCTTGGGCTCCGGCCAGTTGCGGTGCTGGATGACTGCCCCAGGCTTGGCCTTGTCGAGGATGGTGCTCATGGGGCGTCCTCCTCTTTGGGCCTGGGTTGTGCCGCGCAGGCTGGGATTGGCGGTCCTCCAAACTCTGCGGTCCACTGGTGCCGCGCACATCCCAAGTCGCCGTAGGAGCCGTCGTCGTAGCCGTAGGCGTAGACGAGGTTGTAGGCGTAGGCAAAGCCGTGGGCGAAGACATTGTAGCCGAAGGCGTAGTCTTCGTGGCCGTAGGCGTGCTCGGAGTAGCCGTCGGCGTAGTCGCAGTTGTAGGCGCCCCCCTTGGACTCTCCTCTGACACTGATAGCGTGGGCTCGGAGTAAATCTCAAGATTGACGTCACCAGCAATCTCCACAGGCGGAGACCATGACATCTGAGACTCTGGGGTTACCTGCGACATGGTCGCATCTGGCTCTCTCGGGATGTACGAGGTACTCATGGGGTGATCGTGCGGGGCGGTCGTGGCGCCGCGCACTGGGCTCATTGAGACATCCCAAACAAGCTCGCGCTCCCGCCCTCCCTCCCTGGCGCCGTCCTGCCGGGTGCCGTCGTAGATCTTCTGGTGGTCATACTTGTGCAGGATGGTCGCGCCTGCTCCCGGATCGCCGGGTTCCAGCGGCGGGGTCGGGTTCCCTGCCGCGCCGCGCGGGGGGCAAAAGTACAACGCTATACTGATGAGCGTGCTGCCCGATATGCGGAAGAACACAAGGTTCGTGTAGACGGAGTGGGGGAACGTCTTCATCGAGATGACGCGAGAAGAATGGAACATCGTGGAAGGGAGCCGAAGCTCCGTTACCAACTAGAATGACAAGTAAGGAATGGAAGATCAGAGAATGTGCGCTCTGTTTTACGAAAGAGACATATGCGGCATGCGGTGCTGTCAGGCGCATATGCGGGAGCTAAACCTGGCCAGGCTCAGGGCCCCAAAGGCCGCGGGATATCTACACCTGGTGCCACTGGAATTCCCGTTCGCGTAAAAGGAGCAGGAGGAGGAAGAGCAGGAGAAGGAGGAGGAGGAGGAGGGGGCGGAGAAGGAGCAGAGGGAGACGGGGGAGAAGGGAGGGGCACAGGGGAAGCAGAGAGAGGCGAAGCATGAGCAGGAGAGAGGAGAACACCCACTATCATTCCTCCGCCTGCTGGCGTTCCCGCGCTGGTCGCGCGATGGGTCATAGAGTCAGGCCAGGGAAAGCGGGTCACCGATGCTCCGCGGAGGCGTGGGCGGGCGGGTGGGTCCGAGAATCGCCCGCGGGAGTCTCGTTGCTGAGCTGTGCGTCGGCCGCCCGTTGCCCGAGTCGCACCATGCCGTGGTCGCAGCGGCGTGGCCGTGGGTGGGCGGGCCGAAAACGCCGCCTCACCTGAGGGCCCTTGCCCTGCCAGTGCCTGCAAGCCCTTGCCCACCCGAGGGAGGGGAAGGCCAAGTCGGGGTCCGATTGTGACCTCCCGCAACGCCCTTGCCTGGGCCTGGGCCCGCGCCCAATCGCAACATGAATGCAATATGCCAGCAAATGCGCAATGCTAGCCCCCTGCGAATGCATAGGCAAGACGATAACACCATGCTACAATCCGTCATCCCCGCTCGCCGGACTACCCTCTCTCCCCTGACTGTAAGTTCCATTACCGCGCTATGTTCTCCCACTCGCACAACGCGCGCGCGTTGTCCGCGGAGGAGAACACCCACTATCATTCCTCCGCCTGCTGGCGTTCCCGCGCTGGTCGCGCGATGGGTCATATAGTCAGACCAGGGAAAGCGGGTCGCCGTAGCTCCGCGCCCATCGTGAGGCGATCGCTTGTCTGACCCCCATCGTCGCGATCGTCGCGGGACAGCCCCGACTGGCTTGGCGGGTTATGAGGCGCGGAAGCCAAACCAGGAAGGGGTGGACTGGGCTGTTCATGTTTCCTCTCGTTCCTCGCTTTTTCGCCCCTACTCGGAGTCCGAGCGGTCGATCAGCAGCGACAGGGCCGCCGCTTCTTCTACCTGGTGGTCACGCAAATACTGCACAAAGGCCGAACTCGTCCAATCACCTGCCCGGAGCAGCGTCGCTAGACTGCCTCCGGAATCCACTATGTCTCGAGCCATGCCTCGTCTGAGCGCGTGGGTTCCTAACTTGTGTGCGTCCACTATGCCTACATGCTCGGCGTGCTGCCTCATGCGCTGAAGTAATTGCTGCGCTGACCGCGTGAACACCCGCTGCCGCCCCTGCCGGCGCGCCTCGGCGATGAGCGGCATGAGGTGGTGCAGCGCGCACAATAAGCGCCCATACTGCCGACAGCAGCACTCGCGCCGGACGACCGCAGGGCGCCGGTCCGGCTTCCGCCGGGACAGGGCGATGCTGGCCCCAACGCACTCCAGCGCGATCTGCGAATGCTCCCCGTCGATCTCCAGCAGGATGCACTCCGACGGCATTCGGAACAGACACAGCCGACCGACAGCGTAGAGTGCAGCTTGCTCGGGGTCTCCCGACGCCTCTGCGTGAGCGACATGCTTTCGCACCTCCCTGGCTTGCAGCGCCAAGCGTTGTCGCGGCTGGTCTGCCTGTTTCGCCTGGCCCCTGCGGACCTGCCTCACCGCGTCCGTGTCCCAATCGTTGCTGAATCGCAAGAATAGGTGCGCCCATCGTAGATTTGTCAAGTATGCCATCAGAGTGCCGCACTGACGGAACATGGCCGCGCATCGGATGATATCGCCCTCCCTTGCGGGAAAGTGCCGCGCCCGTCCCAGCGCGTCCACGAACGCAGCCCAGCACCGCACTCCGGCAATATAAGACGGCAGTGATCTGCCGATCGCCGCAAGCATGCTTCTCTGCACTGCTTCGCCCAGAAGAGAACCATCTCCACCCGCCGCCGCCGCCGCGGCCGCCGCCTGCCGGCGCGGCCGCCGCCTGCCGGGGCGGCAGCCTGTCCGACAAAAGCCGGCCAAGGCCAGCCGACGACATGCGGTCATCAAATGTGCGCCATCCCGTCGCTTGCGCTACGGATGTCTCGCGGTGGAACTCATGCATGGCCCGTGCCGCCACCCAGCCCGCGCGTTGCCTCTCTGGGAGGCCCAAGAGTCTCGAAATCCACCAGCCAGAGCCAGCAGCGTTCACCAGAGGCACACCTGCAGCTGCAATCGCAAAGGTTTCTGCTCTGTCACGGGGCGGAGAAATCGCCTGCGCCACGTTCTGCAACAGATTGGGCCCCAGTGTCGCAACCCCGTGGCTGCCTGCGCGCCCCCAGCTTAGGGCGCCCGCCAGATACCGCCGCGCGTCTGCATGACTCTGTACACCCCCGTGGGTGACCTGAGCGTCTGCCAACCCGCTCGGCGCCGCAGACGAAGCCGACGTGAAAGGCGGGATGTGCGCTGTGCTGTTGGCGCGCCCTCGCGGGCCCAACGCCGCGCGCTCCGCTTGGCAATGCGCGCCTGGCCCTGGCGGGCGCCACTCCCCATGGAGTCTTGCCGCCCAGGCCACTGACGTGAACGGATGCACTGCAGACGTACTCGCGAAACTGGTCTCGCGCAAGGGCCCCTGCGAGCCCGACCCGGCAAGAGCCGACGCGGCTACGGTGAGCGCGAGGGAGGCCGACTGCTACGATACGGACACCAATTCGACATCGCGTTCCGCACTGTGCCTCAACAATAACCAAAACGACAACACCACTCAGACGAAGCGCGATGTAAATCGGGCGCACCCCGGGGCGCCTAATGCGCAATGCGACACAATGAACCTTCTTATCGGCCGGACTCATACCCTTTGTAGCGCCCCCGGTTCGAGTCCAAGTTTTTGGCCTCTTGGGGCCCCATTGGGAAAACTCTTGGAAGCGTCTTGGGCCGTCTTGGGCGGCATCCGTTGCCATTTGGGGGGTATTTTGGGCGTCTGGGAGCGGCGGTTCGCCGATATGGGGCCCTCCTGGGCCATCCAGGGGGCCACCTGGGGCCCGCCGGGCCCATTTTAAACCGACCTGGGTGCTTGAACAGCCGCCCCAGCGCCCAATCGCCCACTTTTGCGGTTGGGGTTCTGGCCAGGGGCCCCCCTGACTCGGCCCCCCGTTATATGTATACATGACCGCAAGCGGGGGAAGAACGCGCGGCCCGAAGGAGGCGACGACGACGCGACCAGTGATTATACCTCTTTTCTCACCTCCGCGGCTTCTGCGCCGCGCTGTCAGAATTCATGTGCACGCGCCCCTCCTGATTATTTACAACGCAAGGCGGTGCGCACCGGTGCGCTGAAGCCACGAATCGAGACCTTCGGAAAAATCTGGGAAATTCCAATTGTCCCTTTCCGTCGCTTCCATGCCGCGCAATATATCGAGATCGTCTCTAGAAGGGCCGTCTGCTATGCTGGCTTTGCTGGGCACGTAGTGAACTTGGTAGTCCATGCCCATGACTGCCGCTTCGAACCACAGCCGGCCCGCAATGGCAGCGAGGTCCCTTTTCAATGAAAACCCCCTGACGATGCAGGCGAGAGCGGCCGTGTTGTCGACGAAGTGGACGACCCGGCGTTCACGGAGAGTGTCCGGGCACGGCGAACACACTGCAACCGCGGCAGCGAGCAGCTCGAAGGCGACAGCATTGGTCGCCCGCCCCAACAGCTGTCTCCGAATCGACTTCGGCACCCTGCCCCGGAGGAACTCCGCGGCCCCCCTGTCCGCGATGGCGACAGCACCGACGCGCCCGTTGCCTTCCGCGTCTGAATACAGCAACACTGCAGGAATCCCGACCTCCGGCAACAGGGGCGCGGACCAGCAGAGGCCCATGCAGAGAGAGCACCTCCAGGAACCACTGGAGAGCGCGCTGCATCCTCTTCGTGATTGTTGCCGGGCCGCGGGCCTGGCACTGCCGCCATATCAGAGGCCTTAGCAGTGCGCGCCCCAGGCGGTTGAACATCTTCGAATTCAAAAAGTTCAACTTGCCACAGAGCTTGGAGGCCCCGCCTGGACTGAGGCGTACGGCCTGCAGTATCTCTTGGATCTCGCGACACCACTGTCTGCGCTTGGCCTCCCCCAAGCGCCAGTGCGCCGTCCAGCTCTGCACGGCCACCTCAAAGCCCAGCAACGGTATCTGCGGGGGCACCGCTGACTTGCCTGGGTCCAGCTCCCAGCTGAACATCGCGCACACGACCTCGTTGAAGACCTCTGCTATCCATTGGGCTTGGTGCCGCCCGTTGGGCAAAATGACTCTGGTGGCTGCCCAGAACACGTCATCGACGTAGAAAAAGACAGCCAAGAGGAATATTGTCGTCACGATCTGCTGCAGCGCTCCGGCAGTCCTGAACCACCCGGCCACTGTGCCCAGATTGCCGAAAGTGTAAGAAAACAGCGCTGCGGCCTGGTATCTCTCAGCCTCTGGGTTGAACAGAAGCGACCAGCACATCCATAGATGTTCCTGGGCTGGAGGAAGCAAGGCCGACCGAAAGTCTGTCTTGCCCATGCAGGCATCGAGCTCGAGCCCGGCCTCGCGCGAAACCTCGGCGAGGTGCTGCAGACTTTCAAACATGTGGTCATGCGTGTCGTACCGGAAGGTCTGTGGCATCCAAGCGCAATCGTTTCGTTGACACGATTCCGTCTGAAATTGTGGATATCCCGTGCCTTCCGGCCCGCGTCGCCCCGGCTCTCCCAGATGCCGAACGATTCCACCAGCAGCATGGCGGACAGATCGAGGTCCTGGACCTCCCACTCGTACAACGCGCGCGCGCGTTGTCCGCGGAGAAAAAAAGGGGAGGAGGGGGAGTAGGAGGAAGGGGAGGAGGAGGAGAAGGAGGAGAAGGAGAAAAGGATGAGGAGGAGGAGGAGGAGGAGGAGGGGGGGGAGGAGGGCAGGAGATTTCCGAAGAGTTGGTATCGAGAGTGACATTGGGACCTTCTTGGGATTTCTCGGGGATCTCATCAGAGGCTCGTGACAGGAAAGGTGATGAAGCTGGGACAGTGGGAAGTTTATGAAATTGGCCTCTGTAGCCCTGGTTGGGGATCCGCTTGGGGCCCTTTTCTGGTCATCGAGGCGCCCTCTTGGGCTATCCTGGGGTCCTCCAGGGCCGTTGTCGGACGACGACGACGACCATGACGATGACGACGACGACGAACGTCCTCGGCGACGACAACTGCCATCCCGGGTCGTTTTGGAGCCATCTTGGGAAGCCTTGGAGCGCTTGAAGCTGTCCTGGAGGAGTCCGGGGCTCCCCATGGGATCATCTGGACAGTTCGCTCGGAGCTCGTAGCAGGTCTCCTGGGGGCATCCTGGAAGGATTTTGGAAGCCTCTTGGGGCCTGGTTCGGTGCCTGTTGGGGGCCGTTTGGGGAATGTTGGGGACCGCTCAGGAATTTCTTGGGGGGGCTCGTGGGGGCCTCTGTGAGCCTCCTGGTGACCTCCAAAGCCTTTCTTGGCGCTCCCTGGGGGCCTCTTGGGGCCAAAGCCCGAAAAGTCAGTTCGGATCCCCCGTCTGGGCTCTCTCTTGGAGCCGTCCTGGGGCCCTTTTGGGGGGTGTTTTGGAGGCCTCTTGGGCTGTCTTGGTGCCTGTTTGGGCCGTCTTGTTTCGGGCGTTTCTTAAGCGGTTTTGGGGCGATCTTGGGGGCCTCTTGGGCTGTCTTGGAGCGTCGGGAAGCCGAGTAGGCGAGACTCATAGAAACCTTCCAAACCTACAAAAAAAAACATGTTTGCCTCTTGGGGTCCCCTAGGGAAGCCTCTTGGACGCCTCTTGGGGCGTCTTGGAGGCGCTTGCGCCGTATTGGGACTATCTTGGGCGTCGTGGAGCGATCTTTGTGCGTTTCGTGGCTCTCTTGGACGATCTTGGGGGCAGGCCTCTTGGGGGCCTCTTGGAAGCATTTCGGAAGCCTCTTGGGGCCCGGTTCGGTGGCTGTTGGGGGCCGTTTGGGGGGCTCTAGGGGACCGCTCAGGGGCCTCTTGGGAGTCTCGTGGGGGCCTCTGGGGGCCTCCAGGGCGTTTCTTGGCGCTTCCTGGGGGCCTCTTGGGGCCAAAGCCCGAAAAGTCCGTTCGGATCTCCCGTCTGGGCTCTCTCTTGGAGCCGTCCTGGGGCCCTTTTGGGGTGTCTTGGAGGGTGCCCGTTTGGGCCGTCTTGGGGATGTTTCGGGGGCCTCTTGGGCGGTCTTGGGGCGATTTTGGGGGCCTCTTGGGCTGTCTTGGAGCGTCGGGAAGCCGAAAAGGCGAGACCCAAAGAAACCTTCAAAAACCTGTTGTAAAAAACCAACCATGTTTGCCTCTTGGGGCCCTCTTGGGAAGTCTCCTGGACGCCTCTTGGGGCGTCTTGGAGGCGTCTTGGGCCATATTGGGACTATCTTGGGCGTCGTGGAGCGGTCTTTGTGCGTCTCGGGGCCCTCTTGGACGATCTTGGGGGCCTCCTGGGGCCGTGTTGGAGGCCTCTTGGGCCGTCTTGAAGCCTCTTCGAGGCGCCGGGGATGCGGTCTGGGGTTCGTGCGCGGGTGCCGGGGGGGGGGGACGGTGACATGCCGGGGTTTTCCATGTAATTGCATAGGTAGAAGGACTGCGCCTGTGTGTTATGCAATATACGTGGTGTGATGTGTGTCGTGGAGTCTGTGGGAGCACATCTATGCTACAGCTAGCGCACCTGGCGGGCACGGGCGGCGACCTGCCGACTGCCTTGAACATCCAGCCAGCGCGCGAAGCGGCGACGAGTCGGCCACGGAAAGGCCGCCTGACGAAATCCCCAAAAACGCAAATCACGTAGAAACGTACAAGCGGAATAAGACCCGCTGGTGTACGCACTGCCGGGGGACTAGACCGTTCTTGGGGACCGTACGTGGAGCACCGACAGCACATTCGGACCCCATAATGAATTGAGGGGTGCGCTGCACCCTTGAACCCTAGATCAATGTTGATATCAAAACCTAGGCTGCTTGATTGTGGTTCGGCTGATTCTGAATACTTAAGACCCCCCTTGTTCCCGTTCAAGCCCCTCTTCCCTCCTAATCGCCCCAAAGTTGATTTTCACCGCATGGTTCGAGGATCATTGACCACGTGCGGTACTTCCCAACCCTGCACCTCCAGACGCGCTTGGCGAATACGTACAAGAACAGAGCTCCCCTCGGAGCAAAATTCACACACAGAGGCCGCCCCCGCGCGGCCCGGAGAGCTGGGCGAACTCGCCCTCCAGCGACTGCGCCGCGGCCTCCTGCTCAGGAGAAAGCGACTGCTGACCTGACGGGGCCGAGGAGGAAGAAAAAGGGGTGGCAGGAGAAGACGAGCATCCCTTACCCACGTGCCTCGCGCTTGTGCAATGTCGGCCAGCATCCCTTCATGTCTCTCGCACTCGCGGTCTACAGCGATCTGGTCGCTCTGGGGGTAAGGCGGGGGGAGGATGAACAGGAGCAGCATGGGCATGTGCGGGGATATGGAACGACGTGCATCGTCTGGGGCTGGGCTGGTTCCCTAATGACCAAGGGGTCGACACGCTGGCCCGAACTCGGGGACACAGTCGGACGGAAAGCATGCAGCTCCCAATGGATCCTGGGATAGGACAGACACGACAGCCGACAACTTGCCTGGCAGACCGAGCCAAGGTTTGGGCGGCCGCCCGAAAGAACGGTGCTGGATGGGCCTCACCCCCTTGGCGGGCCAACTAGCAATATTGAAACGCGTTTGAACTGTTCTCAGTGTCTCCAACCCATCCCGCCGACCACCAAGAATAGCCGTCCCCTGAGGCAGGTGGGTATCTTGGACTCCTCAGTCCAAAATGGCTCCCAAGAGGGAATCAAAGTAGCCCAATATGAATCACTATGCTTAAGAACGGCCTCCCGTTCTGCCGGGGGGCCTGCGACCTCGCCCACGAGCAAATGCGGCTATGTTGAAACATTACGCGGGCATCGTCCACACCATCCCGCCACCGTTGACACCGACAAGAGTCTTCAACATGCCAGTACCACACAACACTATCGCAGTCACCATCGCCTTCATTGTCGCCCTCCTCGCAATTGACACCATCAGTCCTGCAATCCTCATCGCTATCGCTGCATGGTTGTATCCACCCATGCCCAGCAAATACACGAACGGGAGCCGAGAGGTGACGACATTTGTACGTATGGTTGGGAGCCCCAGGAGCCGAAAAGCGAGGGCAGTTCTACGCGTTGGAGCACCATGGACTAAACAGTGACGACAGTTCCACGCTTGGGAGCACCATGTGTTGGTGATGCTGGTGATGATGGTGATTGGTGGCGATGGGATGAAGAGAATTGGTGAGGTTTTCCTGCGCGGGGGGGGGCTCGAGAGGCAAGGGAAAACAAGAACCCCGCATCGGATGTGAGCACATTCGCTGCAACATATACGCTTTCAATATGCGTCGGACTCTCGTCTGTTCTGTGCCAAGGACGTCCAGAACGCTTCAAGAGGCCCTCAAGTCAGCCACCAGGCGGCCCAAGCGAACTCCACGACTGACATAACTTGCGTCGGGAAGGTGCCAGGACGGTCCGCAGTGGCCCCCGACCTCGAGACAGACTCCGAGAGCGCCAGGCGGCCCGAGAATCGCCATAAGACGGTCCCCAGGAGCCCCAAGAGGCCGCCAAGAAAGCACTGAAGGCTCGCAAAGAGCAGCGAAATCCCTAGTGTTCCCTCCCTCTCCCCCGAAAGGCAGGGAGTTACTGCAGGGAGTTACTGCAACTCGTCGCCAGAGCTTTCGACAGACAACTCCAGCACTCCTGCGGACGTGGCTGCCAACATCGCCAGCTGGAAATATCACATTCGCCACGCCTCGAGCTAGGGCGATGGAGGCAAATGTGGCGGCCAAAAGCCAGGCGCGAGCAGGCAAGGGGAGATGTCGCAGCCTTTGGACATATCTGCGTCTGCGGCTTGCTCCACCTCTGGGGGCGACAGAAGTGATGGAGCCAGAGGTTCTTTCAAGTCTAAGAAGAAAGACATCGAGCCCCGCGTTGCCCACCCACCCCCCGCACCCCCGCTGCCCACCAGTAGCAAACCAACCGCCTGATAGAAAGAGCCGAATAAAGACGGACATTCGAGGCGACTCAGTTTGTCTCGGCAGCGGGGATCGAACTCTACCCTCCTGAATATTCCCTCCAGCGGTACCGCAATAATCTGTCGGCGTGGGACGTCTTGAATTCCCCAGCCGCCTGCCCGCACACAGCGGCCAGCGCCGAGCGCTTGCCCTCCAAAGCCTCCCGCAGAAGGGGCGACAAGGGGATGCATGGAGGACGTCCTCCTCCTCAAACTCCTACTCCTACTCCTGCTGCTCATCCTTCTCCTCCTTCTCCTCCTTCTTCCTCTCACACTAGCCAGATGACCACTGAGGAGGAGGACGAAGAGATGGAGGGCTCCGTGCTCCCACTACTCTGGTCCCCTTTTCAGTTTGCTATCCTACTCGTGCTCCTGCGCCTACTCAAAGCCAGGCATCAAATGACACTCTTGAGCCTTGGTGCTCCTACTGCTGATTAATTGTTATCCTTCCAAATTGATGCAACCACTCCACTTCCTACTCAAAACGGGCGGGTACTGCTCAGCGAGCGTAAAGACAAGATGTTAGCCGGCGTGGACTCTTAACAGTGACTGCTTACAATCTCTATGCGGTGCAACCTAGGTAGTGCAACGTGCAATCCATTTGGTGCAGTCTAGGTGGTGCAGTCCATGTGGTGTAACGCAGTGCAAAACAATGCAGAGCAATGCAGAGCAATGCATTACAATACACTGCGACGCAAAGCAGTGCAACGCAATGCACAACAATGCACAGCAATGCAACGCGGCGCCTCAAAATAACGCAATGCAGAGCTATGCAAAGCTATACGATGCAATGCAAAGCAATGCAACGCAATGCATTGTAGGACAATTCAAAGCCATATCAATCAATTCGAAGCAATGCAAAACGATGCAATGCAATGCGATTACGATTCAAGGTGGCGGCGGGCGGCCACGAACCGGCAAAACCGCCACTGGGCTCATATACCGGCGGCGACGGTGGCGGCGACGGGCGGCCACCAGCCGACAAGACCACCACTGAAACTCAATTGCGGGCGGCGGCGGCGACGGGCGGCGGCGGGCGGCCACAAGCCAGCCAGACCGCCAGGGCAGCTCAGTTACCGTAGAGCAGAAGTGAGAGCCCTTTGGTGCAAGCACTGCTCGGGGAACTAATTCAACATCTCCCTTTTCACAAAGACGGTCGCGCCATCGAATCTTCAATTCCTGTGGCGGGAAGGGTGCGCAGCACACATAGCGTGGCGCGAGAAAAGTTCGATCGTACTCTACTCTCGCCCTGGTGCCGCGCAGAACTGTCGATGCTTGGATGCGGCGCACGCTTCGTGTGCACACCCAGCCCATCGGAAGCAGGGCTAGGCGATAGCATGATGAAGGCACAATCGTATTGAACGCAATGCCCGTTTCGTGCGAGCGCCAGAAACGCAAGAACATCTTTATGTTCACGGTGTATGTAAGGTGAACGTCACTGTCATTCCTCAATTACGCCCATTGTGTAACGCTTTGGTTTTCTGCATTCTGGCGTGAACTCACATCCGCGATTAACGCCGCGTACACTTTGCAAGGGCATCGCACCCTCCTTTGCCGAACTTGTGATTGTGCCGCGCCATGCATGTTTTGTCGAGGCGATACTTAATGTTGTGGGTGAGACAGGCCCGCTAACTTGATCGGGCTAACAAGCTCGACTCTCACTCCTGCTCAGACTCTTTGTATTCCTACGCTTGCTTGCTCCTACTCTTGAGACTTACCCGCCCTGTCTATCATGTATTACTTCATTTGGTGGGGTTTGATGGCCCCCAGGTTGTGTTTTCAGAGTTGGTAGTTCGATGGGATGAACACGCCGCTTCTCTATTTCGAGCTGGGGGTCTGATGGGTAGGCCAACGCCCCCAACAAAAGTTGATCACAGATTTGGGGGCCTTACATACCATCAGAAACATACAAAACAACTTAAAACCTATGCTAGGAGCAGCGCCAGCAGCTGTGTGTGCACTTACCGTGCGTGCGAAGCTGTTTGGGCCCCTCCTTCGGGACTCCCTTGGGGCTCCCCAGTGGTTCCTGGACCCCCTATCGGACCCCTGCCCCTCAAGGCGCCTCCCCTTGGGTCCCCTCTTGTGGCCCCTCCCTTGGGGTTCCAGCTTGGAGCCTAATAGTAAGTGGGGAAATAGGGCGTTGCATGACGGCCCACGCCGCGGCGCAACCTACGTGGTGCAACCCTTGGCGCCGAGTAGGTTAGATGCTGGTGCGATGCAGCCAACGCGCGTGCGACCATCAACAACAACAACAACAACAACAACAATTACTAGCACGTGGGGACACTCCGTTCTCACCAGTGCCAGGGTTTTCGTAGGAGGCGGGCAATACCCCCACTTTGTGGGGGGGCCGGTTCAAGCTCTACCAAATTTCCAAACGACTCTTCGCCACCACCCACACCCAGCTTCCCGCCCTATGACGTTCGGACACTTCACTTCGTGGCATGCGGACGACCGTGGCTACTATTCAGGGCCCCGCGGCCGACGACGACGGCGTGCGCGCGCGAAGAAAAAACGAATGTGTCCCGCATGGTATTATTTGACAGGGATGATGGCCCTGGCAGGTGCGCAACCGTTGTTGCAGAAGTTCGAAAAAGTTGCTCGCAAAAGCCCGTTTGACAGAAATGTTTAAAAAGTGTTGGGTTTCCTACGAATCCGCAAGAGCGCGCGGGATGAGATTTTGACATTTTTTTGTTGAAAAACCATTGGTTTTTTGATGTTTTTATGTTAAAATCGCTGCGAACACTAAGGTTTTGGAAGGATTTCGTCTTGCGCGCGCGAATGTCCACTTTACCTTATTTTTTGCAAGGGATTCTTGAAATTTGATTATATTAGAACAAGAAATGTCATTTTCTATTGTTTTTTGCAAGGGAAAGCGGATTACAACAAAACAACCGGATCCTGTACACACCCTCTTTTCTGAGGCTTCCTCACGAAAATGATGAAAATGTAGCTGCGGCCTAGGCGGCGCAGGGGGGGCGCGCACCAGGGGGCCCAACAATAATTATTCTTTAGAATAAATAATGTTCAACAACAACAACAACAGTTCTCACGTTGACATGCGATTCCGAGAGTTGACGCCCTTTCCACCATAACCATTTTTTGTATCAAACCGTTGACGGCCTGTGCGACTTCGCAAGCCATGGCGTCTCCTTCGCCTGAGCAGTGGCTCAGCGACGAGGAGTTCAGCCCTTTCAGCCTGCCGACGCCTGTGCTGGAGGCGTCGCCGCCCGCGAGGGCGGGCGAGGACAGCTGCAGCCAGGAGGAGAACTGGCTGGGCGCGGCTGACGAGCCGCCTGGGCTCGCGGAGGGCGGCGCCATCGTGGCGCTGGAGCCGCGGGAGGCTGCGCTGCCGCTGGTGGAGCGCCAGGCAGCAGCAGGGCCGCCCTTGGGGCAGCGCGCCGCCATCGGCCCGACCGACCCCGTTGCCAGCGTGGCGAGTGTGATGGTTCAGCGGGTATATCCAGACACCTTGCAGCCCGTTGGTCTGGAGACCGCTTCGCGATTGTCTTCTCGACTCGGTCTTTTCGCGAGCCGGTTTCGTGAGAAGGTGCATGCCGTGGGACACGCCGCCTGGATGACTGGCCAGAGGCATGTTGCTGCCATCGTGCCGAGGCTTCTGGCCGTCTGCAAGGCGTCGCGTGGTCCAGAGGCTGCTGGCGGCCCTCGGACGGATGCTGTCATTTTCTTCCGCAAGAGGAAGTACGACGGCACGCGCGGCCGAGTGACTACTCAGGTCGCCCAGCAGTATGACACCGACACCATCGTCGACAGATGTGCTGGCACGCGAGAGTTGTTTGTCATCAAAGCTGGCTTCAGCATGGTGCTTCGCAAGCGTTTCGATGACAGGGACGACTTTCTCCATGTCATTGCCAGCACTCCCACACACATCGGTGTGTTAGAGTCACCAACAGCGGAGATCATCAATGTGTGCTTGCATCGGCAACTGGACCAGGTGTATGACAAACTGGTGGATGAGCGGATCCCTCGGCAAGTGGATGCCATCGGGTGTGACGGCGCAAGCAGCAACCTGCAAAATGAACGCATGATGGCCGTGCAGCACCCTCTTCGCGCCCAGATTGTGGTTGTTTGCCGCGCCCACGGTAAAAAGAAGGTCGCCGAGCAGGGCTACGCGGTCCTCCGCCCCACCGACAGCAGCATGATACGGTGTCAGCTGACCTTGTCCTCTGAACACCTCATCGCTGTGCGGCACAACGCCAGGCTCATCCACGATGAACAGATTGTCGTCCGCGTCGGGTGCTGTTCTGCTGAGGCGACGGCTCACAGGGAGGCGGTGTTCAACCTATACTTCAGCGACACCGCTGACGCGAGTCTCCAGTTCAGAGCAGCTGTGCGCAGGATGCTTTACAACGGCGACATTCGGACAACTGGTGTCATCGAGCATTACTGTGACGGGTGTTGCCGCAATCGTGACCATACTGTTTGTTTTGATGCACCGTTACGGCGTGGCTGCACTGTTTGGGTCCGTGGATGTCCTCAATCGTGCTACCTGGACGAACAAGATGAAGAGCCATCGCTGCATCGGCCTCCCTGCTGCAGTGCACGGGCTTCTCCAGCAGGCCTACTTGCGCGGCGTGCCAGAGCCTCGTCAGGCCAAGCGGCAGCGCCAGCAGGAACCTGAGGCGCGAGCTCAGCCCGAGGAGCTGGCTGCCGCTGGCCACGACGGGGGCCCCGAGCCTCCAGGGCTACGGCCAGCTCCTGGGCGCGGGGCCGACGATGACGGCGACGGTGCTGATGAGCTCAGCGCGTTCAGGGAGGAGCAGAACGTCAGGATCCTCGGCACCAGGGCGTGGATGAGCGGCGGCAGGTTGGCTGATGATGTGTTTATCGCGTCCCGCATGGTAGCTCTCACGGATGCTTACCTGCTGAAGCAGCTGGCAACGTCTGGTGTTTCCTTCGAAAGGCTGCAGCAGCTTAAGGTGTCTTGGGGCGAAGCGCGAACATACCAAGCTTGGCTGGCGTATGAAGACGCTGACACCAGATGCCTGCTCAAGGATGTGTATACTGCCATATTCGATTCGTCATCTTGGGCACCTGTGCAGAATCGTTCTGAAGAGACCGCGTTGATAATTTATCGGCTTCTGGCTAGAATGGGGGCTACAGCGTACCATCTTGTTTTCAGGAAAAACCGTTCGTGGCC